GGGACGAGACTCATGTCATAACCCGATGGACTCAACCATTCAAACAGGAATATAGCGAAAGCCGACACTTGAATACTGATCAGCAAAATCATTATCCATGAGATGGTGTCAAACGGTTCTATAGTTTGCAATACAAAGTGAACATTAAGTATAGTTTTTGTTGGCTTAACATAATGTGTGTTTTTATGTGCAAATAAATACATTTAAACATAGCTTACAACCAATTGTAGCCCCAAATGAATACAAATGCTTTCAAATAATTTAAATAATATTCTTATATATCGTGGTATTTATGGCAACATATACTGTATATTATCTTTGAAATCGTATTCAGTATAAATTGTTATTCTTGGTAAAAATACTATTCATATACAAATATGATATAATGTCACAAATATTAACTTAATGTTTTGAATTCATACACACGAGTGATAAAATTTATTGAATTTGATATATCATTAAATAATAGGTTCTGTAAAAGTGCTTCAAAAGAGACGATTAGCTTAATTAAAATGATATTATAATTGTCAGGTCTATAAAACATATACTATGATATGTTACCACTATCTTTAAACAGTTATTTTCTATCATTTATGATTAATTCAAAGTTTTTAAAAAAAAAGTCAACCCTTTATTATATTCATGACATTTATGTTAACCCTTTTTGAAGGCAATATTTTAGTTCACAAGGTTTGCCACACAAAGCGTGTATAAAACATAACGTTTGGTTTGGTTTGCATTCAAAGCTTAACTACTATTTGGTGACCAAAAAACAAGTACCGAAAAAATGGACAAATTTTATGGCGTAAGGATTGGATGTAAACCCGGAGTCTATAGGACTCGAAAGGCCGCTATGAGTCAAATGAATCATCCGTTCGCTCAGTGCAAGAGTTTCAACACATATGAAGAGGCGGACGATTACGTGAAGAGCGGCCCGATATGTGTCAACTGTTTCAAAGCCATGTTTGATCCCAAGAATGGCGGCCCAATGGAGACCGACTGGTGTGGGCCCTGGTTTCAAATCTATACGGACGGCGCGTGTCGTGGCAACGGAACCGCCGCACCCATCGCCGGCATTGGTGTCCATTTCCCCACTCGTTATGAATACGATCTCAGCGAACCATTGCCTGAAAGGCAGACCAACAATAGGGCCGAGATATGGGCTGTCATTCGAGCCCTCCAAACAGCCCACACTTTCGAAGAATATCGGGTGGAGATTATAACGGACAGCGACTTCTTGGTCAAAGCGATGACCAAATGGATCCATAAGTGGTACCGAAACGACTGGAAGAACGCCAACGGCGAAGATGTGGTCAACAAATATGACTTTCTGGAACTGGAGAACGCGTGCGATCTTATGAAGAGTGTTAAGTGGACTAAAGTGGCCGCACATTCAGGTATTGCCGGCAACATGAACGCCGACCAATTGGCCAATCAGGCCATCGATGATCAGCTCAGAAGATATTAGTGATCGGCGATATATATGTAAATTACTTTCCCTACCCTTTAAACGGAATCTTTTTTTAATAACTAATTATTTAAATTAATATAACGTTTTAGTAATTAAATTAATTGCTGCCAAAAATTATTAACACATTTATAATCTGTAATACAATTAAATATTGAATTAAATAATACTATAAATTATTCTGTATTAAATATCGCCTTCTATTGAATGAATATAATTAAAACTTTTTAAACAATAACTTATGTATATTTTTCAATTGAAATGACATTAGCATCAGCTATGACAGGATGTTATAGTAATTACATAAATGTGCCTAGTGTAATGCGATAAAAGCCATTAACACATTTGATTTGGTCATAACCAATACATTCTTCCGGAATATATTCTAAAACAAATTATTATTCATATTATGTATTTGTAATACAAATATTAACCTAATGTTTTGAATTCATACACACGAGTGATAAAACTGATTGCATTTGATATACCATTAAATAATAGGTTCTGTAAAAGTGCTTCAAAAGAGACGATTAGCTTAATTAAAATGCTATTATGTGTGATGTATATAAAACATATACTATGTTAGCACTA